GTGTCTTGGGCTCACTCTTCTGCGTGTTGTTTTGTAAAGCATCCAGCAGCTGCCCTTGCTGCATGGTTTTCGGTTTTACAGCTAAGCCACAGTGCAAAAAAAAACACGTCCCAGCAGGATTCACATCCACAACCAGTTACCGCAAATGGCCCCATCGGTGGTATTTAATGCTCGAGTTGAAGCTGCAAGTCAGCAGGTCCCTCGCGAAATGTTACATAACTATTTATAGAGGAATACCGTAATGCCCTCTCTCTTGGCTAAGTAAGATTTAAGCGGCTGACATAACTGACAGCGAAGAGGTCATCGCATTCAATGTCAATCGCATCCCGCTACAACATACGCAGCATCAGCGACACCAGGCGCAGCATCATCATCATCAAATCCACCAGCATGTTTTCAGAGGCGGCTGAAGGCTGCTCTCAACCGTTCCGTCGGGCCTACGAGGAACGTCGGAGCCTGGACTCCGCAGAGCGCCCCCCCGCCCGAGTCGCGACCGTCTCCGCCTTTTCACGAATGTGTGCGTCGCTACCGTTGACGTCATCACCACCTGTCCATCGCTTCCTTCCTCATGCCGGATCCCGCAACTGTTGTTAGTTAACACCGGACCTCCAAGGCTGGCTTTCACAATATCTCATCATCAGGCTTCAGCATTTCCCCTTGGGCCCTGACCTCTGCGTGCCACCACCACGTCTGCGTTTCTCTACGCCGCGCACCTATGAGCAAGGACGTCACCAAGAGGGTCCTCTCTCTGGTCGGGGTGTTTGGCAGCGGGTTTTCATCTCTCTCAACATTGTTTAGACCCCCAGGGTTTCGTTTGCAAAAGAAACAAGCATTCTAATTTGGTCCCACCTGGTTTCAAAAGCCGGTCCAGTGCATTGTTGTTTATAGCTACCAAAAGGCTTAATTTTTTTTTTAAATATGCCCAACAATACACCCCAGCACCATTGCATCTAATGCAACAGCCCAATTGTTTGGCTGCATGTGCAATGCATACTGTTAAGTGAACTTTTAATCTTATTGCAGCTATCGTGGCTATGAATTGAGTGTGTGCCTGCATGTGTGTGTGTATGCATGTGGATTTGTGTGTGCACCTGTGTGTGTGTGTGGCAGAGCAGTGGTGTAGACGTTATTCCACTGTGCTACAAACTCAGTGAGCCAAGTTCAATTCCCATTCACGACCAATAACAGCGGCGAATATTTGAACCGGAATATTTGATCTGGTGAGACAAAGGCGGACGGGCGTGGTTTTGGCCACCAACACCATCGTGTGCTGTGCTGACCTTGATTGGTGCTCGCTAACAGTATGTGCCCCAACAGACTGTGAAAGGCTATACGGGGGATCTTTGTCTTTGTGGCAGAAGGGAGCTGTTGGTACACATTGCGCAAAAAAATCTTGTGACCTCTGGTTTGATTTCTGGTCATGCAGCAGTAAATGGAGAGACAGAGGTGGGTGGATGTGAACAGTGTTGGCGTCACAACGGATGTGCCCTGAAAGATTTAAATGGTGCTCACTCACAACGCTGGCAGTCTCGAGGGCTGTACGTAGGATCTTGGCTTTCAGCGTTTGATGTGAGGCTGCTGTGGGCCTATTATTGCGAGAGAGCCCCGGTTTAGTTAAGTACATACATGAATGGCTCACGAGTACAGGAAGTGTAAAGGGTTGCAAATTGACAATAGGTTATTACCGTATATTACAAAACAAACAGGCAGATGCAGCGTATAGACACCAGGACATTGCATGTCTGGAATCGCATCCTTCATCGATGTGATCAAATCACGGATTGTGTGTACTGTATTGAACCGAACCTGGAACTTGGATCAAGATTTTGGCAATCCTTTTGGTAACCCCTGCTATGTATGGTAAGGTGATGGTTTGATTGGGTCCTCAGATGGCTCTCTACCCATGGTGGGGATGCAGCTTTGCGGATTGTGCGGTCAGAATATCCATTCCTCCTGAGAGCCTGGCATACGTGTTCAAGCTCACTGGCTAGGTAGTGCTGGTCGGAGATGCAGCAGGCCCTATAGTGTAGTGTTTTGATGAGGGAATTCTTCTGGGCTGGATAGTGGTGGGAGTCAGGCTTTAGATAGGAATCTGTGTGAGTAGCTTTCCTGTGAGACGGAATGTCCCAACGAGCAATCAGGTCTCTTCCTGATCAAAACATCCAGGAATGGTAGCTGCCATCATTTTCCACTTCCATGGTGAATTTGATAGATGGGTGTAGGGAATTGATGTGGTTGAGAAATTGGTATAGTGCTATCCGGCCATGTGGCCAGATGACAAACGTGTCATCTACGTATCTCTTCCACAAAGAAGGACGTCGGGTGGATGTCTAGATGGCATCTGTCTCAAATTTCTCCATGAAAATGTTCGCTACCACTGGTGATAGGGGAGAGCCCATTGGGGTACCTTCATTCTATTTGTAGAAAGTACCATTCCAGGTGAAGCAAGTGTTGGTAAGGCAGTGGCTTACCAACGAAGGTACATCAGGATCCAATCCCTGTTGGACTAGATATTCAATGATTGCAATAGTATCAGGTACGGGTACCTTGGTGAAGAGGGAGACTACATCGAAACTGACAAGCAAATCCTCCGGGGACAGTGATATGTCCTTGATTAGTGAAACCAAGTGGGCCGAATTAAGTACAGCTGAGGCGGTCTTGCCCGTGAAGGGAAAGCAGAGTCTCAGACAGAAATCGTGCCAGTCTGTAAGTGGGTGAGTTAATGGTGGATACGATAGGGCGGAGTGGAGTACCCTCTTTATGGATTTTTGGAAGGCTGTAAAATCTGGGTGGTCTAGCAGCTGAAGGTTTTAGAGAGAGCTGTTTGGTGTGTTCGATTAGGGAAGTAGAATTAGTGATGATTTTGTTTTTTAGTAGCCAAGCTATTGGTAGGGTCTCTGTTAATTTTGGTATAGCAGCCATCATTAAGAAGGTCCTGAATTTTGTTGTTGTATGTGGTTTTATTCATGATGACAGTGGCATTGCCCTTGTCAGCTGAGAGGATGACAATATCATCTCTCTTTTTTAGGTCATTCATATGATAAATAATAGTCATTTATAAAAGAGATAATCACAGTGGCATGTGAATTGTCTAAAAAATATATATTCACGTTTATGTAAATGTGCTGTGGGTAATTCTTTACAGGCAGGATACTTTACAACGGTGTCACGTCCTCATCATTAATGTCAAATTCGTCAGTCGGCCCTCTTCGCCAACTCACGAAGCGACGGTGGTGGGAATTGCACCGTTACCCCTGCGCAGACTGACCCGCTGCGAGCAACCCACCGACCTCCCACGACTGTTACAATGCCCGAGGGAAAGCATCACGTTCTGACAATAGGAAGCTGTCAGAGGATACATGAGCATATCTACTGCCGATGTCTAAGAACAACTATGCCATTGCGGAGACACCTATCGTGTGTGTGTGTTTTTTTACGACTGCCTCATTGAAAAGTGACTGAAACGTCTAACGCGCATCCGAGCTGCACGGAGAGTTTACGGCACCATCTCAACGGATTGACTGGTTGTGCATCACGTAAATTTTTTCTTAGGTTTGTTGAATTCTCGTCTCTCATCTTCTTGTTGTATTTACCTCCGTGATTTGTTTTTTACACCTGATGAAGATCGCTTGTGTTGCGGTCGAAACGTCGTGACTGATTTATTTTAATATAATTTTATGGTATTTCTACATACGTGACTTTACCGAAAAAAAACCAATGGGGAATTGCACCGCCGCTTTGCCAACGTTGGTGGGGATTCGGAAGGCAGCTTGCCGTGAGAGAGACGACTTCCGAGACGAATGAGAAAACAGGCGCGCATGCATGTCGTAAAACCTACCGCTCGAGAAGCGTCACGACACGCAAATGAGCACTGGCTAATGCGAAGGTAGTGGTAGAAATTCCACATTCCTGTGGACGGGACGAGTTCATTCACAGTCTAAATGTATATATTACACTGGTGATATGTAGTAAGTCCGTTTATCCAGCACAAAATTGAAAGTAAGTCCCCACTCAAATGATCTTTACGAGTTATTCTGAACTAGTGGTGTAAATTATGCATTATTCGCCAAAGAATGACTATTGCTACTTTTTCGCGGTTGTGCTGCCTGGCTCTCCGATGTGTTTCAGATCGTACGTGTACTGTACGTTGCTCGGCAGACCGGGCCGACGTTTCAGCTCCGTGCGCCCCGGAAGCTTTCTTCGGGAATCCGAAACGTTCGGGACTGAAGAAGCTCCGAGTACGTGGCCGGCCGAAACAACTCGACCTCGCGCACAACACCGCACCGTACAACCAGAACCCATTGGCCGACTTCCCACAATCCGGCAGTCCACTTCAACGAGCGCAGAGCGACAATCCACAAAAGGAATGGCCCCCGGTTACTCTTTCACAACGACAGTGGGGACCGCTCCACCGCCGCGCCCGAACAAGACGCGGGAGAAGGTGTGTGGGGATATCTCCTCCATAAATGGCACGGTCAGGGACTCGGCAAACTGTGAATGCGGCGAGGTGTAAACCATCAGGCGTGGATATTACTGATTGGCTGTCCTGTCAGGTGGTGAGACGCTACAGCGCCCCGCGTGGTATGCAGCAGGTTGTGGTTCAATCCCGACCCTGATGACGCCTGTATATTTAGAGCATGCGGGCTCTCCAATTGGCCGCGTGGACTTTACTCTGGGTCGTCACTTCGCTTATCGATTCCCCCCCCCAATTAATGTTGCGGACTCGATCTACCAGACTCAGCGTTCCGTCTCATCCCCACGGTGTTCAACTACCACCACCACCAAATCACACCGGTCAAAACTTCAAAACTCCATTCAGATGGTCTCTTCCCCCCCCCCCCCCCCCCACCCGTCAATTTGTTATAACCTTGCTCAATTCAAAAAACGTATTGCCCGGTATGCATTACAGCGTTAAGAGCACCGATTGCTGCTGTCCGCTCGGTCTTTTCGGGGGTCCCTGGGCCCGTGCCACTCAAGCAGCAGCTGCGTGAAACCCTTACCTCGATGCCGGCCCGGACGACCTGGTCCCCAGGAGGCTGCCGGTGCGTGTGGGCACGCTCATCTGCTGCAGCTTGGAGTTCAGCTCGTTTATGACGTTCGACTTGGCGTTGCCCGTGTCCAGGCTCCCGCCGACGACGCCGCCGTTCCTGCCCATTGCCGACGGCTGCTCCCCCCACAGCTTGGACCTCCTCGGGAAGCCCGAGGCCTTCGGCGTGGCGCCGTCGGCGCCGGCGAGCGGCGGCGCGCCGGGCGACACGGGCGTGCTGGGTGTCGACGGGCCCTTTGAGTTTTGCCTCTGCGGCGGCCCCGAGAAGGGGGGCGGCGACGAGACGTTGTTCATGGTGAACCTCGCCGGCTTGTTGGCGATCTGCGAGCGCGCGTGCTGCTGCCGTTGCTGGTGGTGCTCCTTGTGGCCATCAGCGGCCTCCCCGCCCTCGGAGGAGACGGTGGAGACGTTGGACGCCGTCGAGACGATGCTCGTCGTCTCGCTGCTGCTCCTGCTGTCCATCTCCTCGAGGCCCGAGTCCGCGCTCGCGTCCACCGAGTCCGAGTGGCTGGCGGCGCCGGCTGCCGCGGCCGTGCCCCTCATGGGCATCTGCATCATGCTCGCCAGGATCCGCTCATAGGGGCTCATGGAGGCCGCGGGCTTCACCGTCCTCGTGTTCCTACGCTCGGGGTCGTTGGGTTTCGTCGACCGCAGCTTGATCTTCTCCAGCACCTGGTCGCCCATCTGCTCGTCGGAGCTCTCGAAGCTGTTGCAGAACTGCAGGGGCGGCGGCAGCGGGTCCGAGAACACGAAGTCGTCCTCGCCCTCCACGCTCTGCGCCTTCTGGATCGCGTGCCCCGGGGTCGCCGCCCCTGCCCCCGCAGCGGCGGCCGCCGGCGCACCGTCCGGCGGCGGATTCGGCGGCAGCGGCGGGATGGCGCTCGGGGGCCTCAGGTTCGAGGCCTCGTCCTCCGACTCCCTCTCGCCGTTGGCGACGCGGACCGCGGCGGCGGCGGCGGCGGCGGAGGAAGGGCTGTCGCCGGTCACGCTCCCGTCGACCTCGCTCCTCGACGAGCGATCGCTGGGGCGGCGCGACGACTGGCGGTTCATCGCCCGCTGCCGCGCCGCCAGAATCAACGCCATGGGCGATGTCGGCTGCAGCGCCTCGCCGGACAGGGGGTGCACGCCGCCCGCCGCCTCGCGGCCCGGGGCCATGTCGGCGCGGGGGGACTCGCTCAGGGCCGTCGGGCCGGCGGGCGGCGGCACCGTGAGCAGCGGCGACGGCGGCTCCTCCGCGCCGCCCGCCGCCTCGCCTCCCCGTCCCGTGGGCGCCGGCGCCGCCATCGACTTGCGCTTCTCCTCCAGCCGCCGCTCGCGATCGCGTACCGCGCCGGCGATGGCGGCGGCAAAGGGCCCCCTCGCGTCGCCGCCGCCGCCGGCGTCGCCCGCTTCCGCGGACGGCCCCTCGTACTCCACGCTGCTCGTGAGGCTCGCGTCGCCGCTGCTGCTCGTCGACGGCTCCTTGATGACGATGGACGGGATGGCGCCGGGGGCCGAGGCGCCGGGGCCCGCGGAGGCGAGCGCCGCCGCCGCCGCCGCCGCCGCCTTCTCGGGGCTGCTCTCCACGTTGCCCTGCTTGATGAGCGTCCCCTTGCGCCGCAGCGGCTTCTTGGGGGCCCTGGCGTGCGCGCCGTCGGCCTTGTCGCCGTCCCCGGGGCTCGCCGGCTCACGGTCCCGCGGGACGGCGCCCCTGGCGGCGCCGTTGGACGGCGCGAGGTGGCCGCCCGCCGCCGCCGCCGCCGCCGTCTCCCCGTTGGGCCGGAAGGTGGAGTGGGCCGCGCCGAACGCCGGGAGGATGGGGCTCGGCGGGTTCGGCGGGGCGGGCGGCGCGTACGACGGCGGCGGCGGCGGCGGCTGGTCGTCGTCGTCGTCGCCGCTGGCGTCGCTGGCGTCGCCGTAGTCGGCCGGGGGGAGGGGCGGAGGGGCCATGCTGGGGGGCGGGGGGATTTCGGCCATGTCAACGACGTCCCCGAGGTCGTTCTCATGGTAGTCGTTCAGCTCCTGCATGGAGTAGGCGAACTTCATCGGCGGCTCCGTGTACTTGCCGTTCTCCTGCGTGTCTGCTGGGGAAACGGGCGAAGGTGACGACGGGGTTGGCGAGACAACGAGAGATCTTTTAGGCGGGGTGACGGCGGCTAGGTTCACGCACCGTGCAGCGAGTATGGCGAGCTCAATTCTAGCGCTGGCACCAAGGGGTGAGCGATATCCAAACTGGTCCTGGGTGACCCCTACACAAACAGCCCGTGACCAGTGCTAACAAAGGAGAGTCAAATGATCCACGTGACTAACACGGCACGGGGGAGGCCTTCATCTAGCAGTGGATTATGCAACGATCGCAATATCGACATAATTACGACAGCGTTAGCCTGCTGGACGGTATTGCGGACAGAGCATTCGACTTCACCGTGTGAAAGTTTGTCAATTCTAAACAGGGTCAAGGTGCTACTCAGCCCATCATCCCTACTGGGTCTATAAACTAGGTATAACTTTACCCGAAGTCACCAACGATTGACCGTTCGCTGAAAGATAATACATTGTTGTATTAGGCATGTTCAAAAGAGTTCTATAAATCTGCTACAAGATACGGACGCGAGGTACGGCATCGCACCCGTCACGATGTCTTCTCGTGACCGTGACACATAACGGCGGTGGCCCGAACCGAGTTGAAAGGCGGCGAAAGGGGGCGGCACTAACCGGGCGCCTTGTACATCCCCGTGGAGTGAGAGACCGGGAGTTTCTTGGGGGTCCCAGGCACGGACGGAGTTGCCACGGGAATGGCCTGGCGTTCAAACAGCGACTGCGCAGTGGGGGAGGCGGTGGGGGAGCAGAATCAGAATCAGAATATCACAGATGCCCAGTCGGGGCGGGCAAACAATACAAAAAACATTAAAGCAGTGGCGGGGGGGGGGAGCGGTCGGGGGAGCAGTTGGGGGAACGGTGGGCGGAGCAGTGAGGAAGGGGCAGTGGGGGGAGTGGTGTGGCGAGGGGGGTGAGCGGTAGGGGAGCGGTAGTGGAGCAGGGGGAAGTGGTGGGGGGAAGGGCAGGAGGGAGCGGTGGGGGGGAGAGCTGGATGAACAAGAACACCGGCTTTAAACAAACAGGTAGGTTTATTTATGCACAGTAAAACCTTGCATTGCGAGCATAATTCGTTCCGGAAACGTGTTTGAAACCCAAACCACTCGTATATCAGTTGTGATTACGTGATGCTCGGCAGACAAAGCGTATATGTACTACTCGTATTGCAAGACCCTCGCTCGTTTATCAAATTAATATTTATTTAAAAATTTTGCTCGTCTTGCAAAACACTCGCAGACCAAGTTACTAGCAATCCAAGGTTTTACTGTACGTGTTTATTCCTGACATGCTCATCAAGGTGAGGATGTGGGTAGATACTCACCACCCAGAATGGCGGTTTAAACAATGGCCAAATTTTTGATTTGGTCCCTCTCCCCACCCCAACCAACACCCTTTCCCCACCTCTGTCCATCCCGCGGTATAAATGGCCGGATAGTTGATCGGCATGCCACATTTGGCGGGGTAAAGTGTGGGTCACCCCGTGTGTTTCTCAAGACACCTGGTCACCAAGGGAGAGTTAGGCCTAGTGCTCCCTCTCGTCGTTGAGGCCCCTTACCCAGCAGTGGGATGAGCGGGCAATTTCAGGGCTGCGCCTTGGACGCAGCTGTCCAGGGGAAAGCTCTGGGGGCACCGACTTCACTGACAGGGCCGTTATACACGACGTTACACGGTCCAGTACCTCCGGGACAACAACGTTTATGCTCCGCTGTCCTACACCTTGACATTTTTTGAAACCTACACTTTATTAATAGACGTGTTTTCTCAAAACGGCTCTCGCCCGGTTTAATTCCTGATTGATTGGGTTGACTTACGATTTTTATTTTGTTCTCATTAACATGGAAATTTATCTGTGGCCTTGAAACAGACTGAGAGCGATGATTAATGGCGCAGTGGGTTGTGCACGTGAGTTTGGTGTGCTTATGTGGGCGCGTGAGCTCACGAGCGGTCGTGCAGTGGTTGGCGCACTGCGCTACGAAAGCACACGGCAACCCGTTACGTTGACGTCAGCGGTAGGGAGACAAAAGCGTCCGTGCATGGTGCTGGCCACACCACACCCCTCGTGCGCCTATGCCGGCCTTCATAGACGTGGCCTTCATAGAAGCTCGTGAACAGCGTGTGTGCCACCTGTGTTCGTTCGAATATGCTCGTGTGCGAGTGTGTTAGATTTTCGACACTTCACGTGGCTTCAAAGTGCATATAGCCTGGCACAAGCGCCGTGGTGATGTCACCGCCACGTCCAGAAAAAACAAAAGACTACTACGGGTGGCAACGTGGAATGTTCGAACGCTCACTGCGGAAGACAGGCTGGCCACTCCTCTGTCGGGAGCTGGACCGGTACCGCCTGGATCTCTGTGGTATTCAGGAGGTCCGGTGGACCGGCTCTGGCTCCTGCCACCATGAGGGGTGGACAGTCCTCTACTCGAGTCAGGAGCCTGCCAAACAACAGGGAGTGGCTCTTCTTCTGAACAAAAAAATGAAGGGGGTGTGGGAGCATGGTGGAGAGGTGTGGGAAGCTGTAAGCCCCAGGCTACTTTGGGCTCGCATTCCCATAAACCAGAGGCGAGGAGTGGTGGTCGTCGTTACTTATGCCCCCACCGAAGACGAACATCCGTGAAGGGATGCAGGCAAGGCCGATGAGTCAGATGCCTTCTATGACCTCCTGTCACAGGTGCTAGCTAAAGTGGTCCCTCGGGATAGAGTCATCTTGTTGGGTAACTTCAATTCCCGAGTTGGTCATGATGCTGGCACCTGGTCTGGAGTGATTGGAAGGGATGGGCCAGATCAGCAGAATAACAACGGCCGGAGGCTGCTAGATTTTTGTGCAGCCCATGGGCTTGTAATTACCAACACGCGGTTCAGGCATCGGCGCATCCACACAACATCATGGATGCAGGCCGGGTCCAAGCAAGAACATCTGCTGGACTACATAGTGACGGAACAGCGGATGCGGGCCCATGTTCTTGACACCAGGACCTACCGTGGAGCTCATCTACCCACTGATCATCGACTTGTCATCTGTAAGATGCGCATGCCATTCTTCCACTCCGGTGGTGGGTGTACACCCAGGACCCTATTCAAACTCATAGTGGCATTGTCTCAGCTAGCTGATGAAAGTTGCAAGAGAGAATTGCATCATCGCTTGCGGCTGGGGTTGGCATCGTCCCCCACTCCTCCTGATATCGAGGGGAAATGGGTGAGGTTTAGGACCGTGGCTCATGCAGCTGCAATGGCTGCTTTGGGTACACGGTCCAGAGGAGGTGTGCAGGCTGGCTGAGAAAAAAGCGACAGGCCCACTCTCACCGTCTACAGCATCCCACGTCAGAGAATGAGACGGCTTACCGTAGCCTTCGCTCAGAGGTTCGGAGAGCCGTGAGGCGCTGCAAGGATGGGTGGTGGTCACGGGTTGCTGAGGAGATGGAGTCTGCCTCAATGGCCCGCGATCACAAATCGCTCTTTAACTCCATCAAGAAAGTAACCTGTAGCGCCACACCTATTACCATCATTAGGGGAAAGAACGAGGATCCAATCTCCGACCCCCAGGAACAGGTTTGCAGATTTTCTGAGCATTTCTGTGAGGTCCTGGGGGAGGGAAATCCCTCAGCCTGGAAAACATCGTGGCACAAAGTGGGGATGACCCTGCTAAGGCTGCGGTGCCTCAAATATTGACGAAGAAGTCACCCCCTGCGAGTGGATGGCTGAGGTGCCATCTGTAGAGGAAGTACTGAAGGCGATGCAGAGTCTGAGACCAGGAAAGGCACCGGGCAGAGATGATCTCCCAAGCGAAATGCTGGCCTGCCTACGATCCATCCTGGGTTTAACCAGGCTGGATTGTGTGAGGAGTTCACAAATCCTTGAAAGATCTGGGCAAAGTCCCATTGGTGAGCTCCTCCGGCAGGCAAGGCTGCGTTGGCTGGGTCATGTAGCCCGCATGCCCAGCCACTGCATGCCTAAACAGCTTTTGTAAGGCCGGATCGAGGGTGCTAAACGGGTGTGGCATGGGCTAGAGAAGAGATGGAGTGATATGGTACAGGAGGACGTGGAGCTGAGTGGACTTGCTGATGACTGGTACCAGCAGTGTCAAGATCGGCCTCTGTGAAGGAGGCTCGTGAAGGACGCTACTGGGCAGTTGGGAGGCAGTCGCCCTCCAACAACAACGGAGGGCGGAGGAGCGACGCTCACAACAACGAGCGGAGCGCCGGGTGGCTAAAGCACAGCAGGTTGGCACAGTAGGGAGCACAGGTGGTGCATCAGCCAGTCGTCTCAATCAGTCGACCCGTGGCACCTGGGTCTGCGCAGTGACCTCCTGCCAGCGGGCGTTCGACACTTCACGTGCCCTCAAGGTGCACATGGCCTGGGGCACAAGCGTCGTGGTGATGTCACCGCCACTTTGTGGCGAATGGCGGTTGCTGTTGGAGTGTGTGTGCTTGCGTGCGTGTGAGCGAGTGCGCCGCCACACCTTGAGTTCCTCGTGCATGAAGTGGCGGCTCGTGGGCCTCTGCTTGACGGTGGCAGCGCGCGAGTCGGCCTGTGCCGCCGCGTCCCCCAGGGGCTTGTCCGCATTGGCCAGAATCTCGTCCAGCTTCTCTGCACGCGGCAAACGGTGGAGGCCAGGGGAACGATTAAAATCAATCAACATCATCGTCGCTTGATGTATAAATCGCACCCGAGGCACCCCGCCCACCCCCTCCACCCGGTGGCAGCTGTCCCTGTGAGGCACAAGGTGAACGCAGCACCAACCGGCAAGTTGGCATTCGTCTGCCGGTTCGGGGGGGGGGGGGGGGGGGGTAGTATTATCATTGGAGAAACTAAACGACATGTCTCGGACCGCATTCGTGAACACAAAGCAGACCTTAAACACGGTAGGACCAACACCTCGGCCGTGGCAGATCACTGTTATAATTCAGTAGGCTCACATGACATTGACTTCTCCAAGACAGAGGTTATTTGCAAGCCATCTGGCTACCATGAGAGATTCGTTCATGAGGCTATCCACATATACAAACACAGAAACAATTTCAACCGAGAAGATGGATTCTGGTTTAGCAATCATTGGAAGGATTTGATAAAAAAAAAACATTTTGGGTCTTAATTGATTGTTCACGCTTACGGTGGCTTTCAGACCGCATACATTATTTTCGTCTCCTCCCTCCTCTTTTCCGAACATAGATGGACTCGTCCATCTGAACAAACTGTCAAATCTCTCTCCGTAGTGCTAACGTAAAAAAAAAAACGCCACTTTTTTCAAATTTTCTTGGTGTGGTTTTCACACCTGATGATGATTGCTTGTGTTGCAGTCGAAACGTCGTGATAATTTTATTGTTTTATATTTTTATTATTTTATTGTTTCCCTTCTACGTGACTTTACTGAAAGAACCAAGAATATGAATACCTGCAGTCAAGAAAGCTTTAAATCAAAATGTAAAGATGTATTAATTTACTGGAACACTCTTTAGCCAGCATTAATCATAAACATTTACAATAACGATGAGGCTAATTTGATGTGAGCAATTTGCGTTTCCTACACTGCCAATTTCCAGAACTGCAGCATTCAAGGATTTTTTTTTGGAAGCTGCAGTGTTTACACACATCCATGATCCAACGATTGCTCGACTGGCATCCTGTGAAGCTACATTGCTTATTTAAGTCCCTTTTAATTCTTTAAAGAGACACATTTCAACCCACATAAGGTAATTTGGCTAAACTTACCCACAGCAAACATGAATTCCATCGAAAAATAATTTAGCTCTTAACCCCCAAGTGGTAACCACAGTTGGCAAATCTTTGGGAAATATCAGCAAAAAATATATAATCGCTGGTTTTCAACATGTCTTTCCCACGCTTTAACGGAGATCGTAAAAAAGGAAAATAAACCTGCTCAATCTTGACACGTTTATGACACGTAGTTTTACAGTCCACACGTGTTTTGCGGCGAGGATGTAAACACATATTCTTGGGTCTTTCAGTAAAGTCACGTAGATAGATTGCAGCACAAGCGACTGCTTGTGTTGCGATCGAAACGTCGTAGTTTTTTTGTTATTTTCTTTGAACCTATCTACGTGACTTTACTGAAAGACCCAAGAATATGAATTCCTGCAGTCACGAAAGCTTTAAGTCAAGGTGTAAAACACGTTTTAAAAGAGGGGGGGAGCATTTCAAGTGACGAAGAAGGGCAGTTTCTATAAAATGTTTAAGTAAAAAATGGCTTGATAGTACGATTGAAAAAGTTGTGAATAAGCAGCTTCTGGCAACATGCAATTTAGGGGCAGACCATTATGAAAGCGACTGATGTTCGGGGAGAGGCTGAGCGACTTGACAAAATCAAAACACTGAGCCATTTTTTAAAGGTCGTGATCAAGATGCCATCACAGCCACCACAGCTGATGGAACCACATCTTGAGGTCACTTCCTTCTGCCAGATTCTGCAACCGTTGGGACAGTCAATCCTGGAGCGCAAAGGCCCTCTTACTGCTCTGGCCTCATCTCATGTCCTGGTGTGTGATGCCCACCCACGAGTGTACACTCCCCACCAAAGGCTGTCTCTGTTTCAACATGGCAGATGCTGTTGATTACGCAGAGAAGCCCACCTAAAATTAGTAGTTTGCATTTAATTTGTCCCCTGAGAACGTTACTTTACATGTTTAGAACGCTAAGTGGTCCATAACTTCCCACACACCTAATGGAGTCGAAATTAAATGGTAAAAAAAAAACGTTAGGGGAGTCAATTATAGGGCGCATAATCGTTTCTTTGGTTCCAAAGTCAATTTCTTTCAAGTGGTATTGCTCTGCTCTCGGTAGAGAGATTTCAGCAATGCACCGTGATGTATTCACGTAGTGCCCGATTAGCACGGTTGGCTACGTACCAAGCGAAACAAGTTCAATGTGCATACACGCAGCACCCACTAACTATACATAAATTAGAGTGCGTATGTGTGGATTTTTATATAATTGCGGTGGATGTAAATAACACACGCATTGCCGAAGCTATTAGGGTTATCGTAGAAGAAAGCCCTCTTCGTTTTTTGTTGTTGTTGTTGTTTGGAAAATGTTTCCGCACGGATGGTGAAGCGTTAAGAGTGGCTATATGACTTTTGAACCGACACCGCCCATAGATGCAAATTTAGCTATCGGTGAAATTCATGTAAAGGAATAAGTGCTTGGTGTGGCTCACGATAAGTGAACTTGTAAACAAATACACAATGCTCTACAGGTACTAACATACACATATATATATTGGACGTACTGGCGGTACACTGGTGCAGCATAACACACCGGTCCTCATACAACAGTAAAACATGTTAATAAGCAAATCTGTTTATCGGTCTTTAATTCAGCCTTACTGTGACCTGTTAAAAAAGAGGTCAACATTGACCGATGATTTGGCTCCGGGGCACGCCATTTTTTTCGGACTGACCAGGAGGTTGAGCGCCTCGAGTAATAGCAGTAGCAGCAGCAACAGCTTTCTTGCATGTCCCTTATGCAAGAAAGCCAATCGTCATCAGGCTTGGTGCTATACGGCAACAGACTGTGATGCTTCGTGTTCGGCCGCTCATAACATGTCTACAGACTGCTTTGACATCACGGGAACCGATTTTGAGGCACCCCGCAAGATTTTCTGACCAAGGGTTGCGAATTGTGGGAAAATAAATAATTATTAGGAAAAAATTGCTTTTTTTATAACGTGCACCGTCAAAACGTTCATATACATTTAGACAACGTGCGTTTGTACAGGGCGATTTGTACAATGCGCTCTAGGATAAAGGCCCTCGTCATCTTTATGGCGACCAGTTGTGTTGCAATCGAAACGTCGTAGTTTTTTGTTATTTTCTTTGAACCTATCAACGTGACTTTTTAGTTATTTCGACATGGGGGCATAGGGCATTTAACCAACCACTGCTACTCATGCAGATAAAAAATATTTGTACAAAACGATTATGTCACCATGGCGCTTGTGCCAGGTTGGGTGCGCTTTGAGGCCATGTGAAGTATCGAAAGCTTGTTGACAGGTCACGGGACAGACCCAGGTGCCATGGCTTGACTGAGATAACCGGCAGATGCACCACCTAATATGCCAACACAACAACAACCGCCATTTGCCACTAAGTGGTGGTGACGTCACCACGGCGCTTGTGCCAAGCCAGGTGCACACACACACACAGTATATTAATGTGCACTTGCAGGTGTGCAAGTACTATGTATTAAAAAAATACCATACCATCTGAAGTATGTACTGACATTATTGCAACACTACAAATAGCATATCTCTCTGGATGGCACCATGGGTAGAGCTCTGAATTTTGCAATCGGAAGGTCAAGGGTTCAAATCCCAGTTCGGTGTCGTCTGAGCCACTCATCATCCCCCTGGGGTGGTTGGTTAAATGGGTACAACTTTGTGGGAAGTCAATAGTGGCTGCTGTCTTTTGAGAAAGATACCATCGACCACGGGATTGGACATTTTCACAACTTGCTCCGAGTACCACGCAAGTTTGAGAAGGATCACACATTGGTGCTTGCCTATTACAAACACGCCGTACCCCCGATTAGCACGGTTGGCTTCGTATGGCGCGAAGGAAGTTCAACGTACGTACACACAAAACAATGGCAACAAACAGCATGTACATACAGTAAAAAAAGGACAAAAATCCCCTGTATATCCTTCAGCAGACTGTTGGGGCAAGTGCTGTTAGCGAGCACCTATTAGGGCTGGCACAACACACGAGGGGGTGGGGAGTGGCCAGCACCACGTCCAGCCAGCTTCGCCTACCCAGTGCTGACGTTTACACACCACACCAGGCACTTATGTGAGGCCGAGTCTGCAGTAAACAGAACCACAACGTATCCTGCGAAACGTGAGTGAAGATCTGCAGTTTAATGATGATAAAATATTATTGTGATTAGGGGCCATCCATTTAGTAGGTACGCAAAAAAATATTGTCGAAACTTAACCCCTCCCCCCCCCTCCCTGTACGCACGCGGACTTTTTAACCCCCCCCCCACCCCCCCATCCCGAATCCTATAGAACGGCCGATATTTAATCCACGGTAGAAACGATCAAGGATTAATAATATTATTAACGTGTTCAAGCAAACAGATAGTCCACCGCCGGACTATCTAACTCATTTTAAGGCCAATTAAGACAAATTATTATCGAGGCTCCCCCCCCCCCCCACCCCCCGTTTCCTATGCATACGTAAATTGTCAGTAGGCCCTCCATACGCAAGCGTACGCATTAGGGTTAACCCCCCCCCCTCCTTCCATGCGTACACACTCCATGGATGGCCCCTGACTGTACTGATAAAACCCTTACACGCATCTTAGGTTACTGCGGTGTTCTGTTGCCGATGAACGGAAAATGCGCTGCGACGGCAACGCGATGTCGCTGCAATCGTTGAAGATGTCGGCAACCCCACAACATTGTCACAGAATCCCGGGATCGCGTATCTGCCGCGTGTTGTTCGACACCATGTCCGACGTTTCCCCCACCGCCCCGCCACGTGCCGGGAGCCTCTGCAAGTCGCCGAGGAAGCTCCAAGCGCATGGAGCGAAACGTCGGACATTGTGCCGAACGGCACGCGGTTCACGACCGG